GAACTGCTGACCGTGAGATTAGCAGCCCAATTTGTAACTACTACGCTACAAGAGCTTCCTTATATATAAATAGGAAGTAAAATTTTTTAATTGTTGTTTTCACAAATTATTTTATTGCTTTATGAGATTTCTTGTTTTGGTTTTAGTGAAAATATTTATTTAATAAATATTCATCGAAGGGATAAATGAACAGAAAATGTCAGTGCTTAATACCTGACCCTAAGGACAAAGTTGACGTTCTTGTCCTATTTTCAAAAGAGCCTATATTTTGAAAGTCTTGTTCACTTTTAAAAACTTAAAATGGCCTCATTTATCTGGATGTCATTTAACTCCATCCTTCTCTTTACAGATATAATCCTAATATAAAACGGAGAAGATAACTTTGACAGAAGGCACAGAAAATATTTCCTACCCAGCATTACTTTATAATTCCATGGGTATATGAATATAGCATATAGAAAATTTAATATACAAGTATTCTATGACCTAAGTTTGTTCAATAAAATGCACAAAATTCCATTTCTCTCATGTATGAAAATGAGCATTGTTTGTTCTGTTTTCTGACCTTATCATCTCACTGTTAAATGCTGTTGAGCCTGTCAAGTTGGTTCCAACTCACAGTGATCCTGTATAGGGTGTCCAAGGAGTGGCTGGTAAGCTTGAACCACCAACCTTGCAATTCAAACCGACCTGGCAGTCCAGTGCATTAATGTGCAGCGCCACACCAGGACTCCTGTCATCTCATGTCTCATGGTAAATGGTTTTAATTTTTTAAATGTATTCATTAAACAATTAAAATAATCATTTCAGAATTTTCCAAGTATAAAAGAGTGTAGTCTTTTTGACAGCTGTGTTCTGGCGACTTGGTTTCCCATCCCCAAAAGAAACCCATAATGTCCATGTTTTTTGTGAGTCATTCCAGAGATTTCTAATGTATATTCAAGTTCCTATATATAGCATTTCTCTTATCAATTTTCTACACAGATAGAAGAACATGCATAATGCTGTGCCTGTCTTTTTTAAAGATTTGAACATCAATGTCGTATCAGTCAGAGAATAATTTGTTTCTCTTCCATTGTAGTATATCTGTCTGAGCTAAAATGGATTTCAGTGGTGAAGACACTGCTTGAAAACTGAAGACAATGTAGAAGGCCTTTACTTAAGACTTGGGAGATTGGTCTCACCAGAATGATCTTTTTGATGGTATTACTGAGCTGGGGTGCTTTAAAATTTGATAAACTCAAGTTTATCCATTTTT